CTGAAATAAGGGAAATCCTTTGACATTGATGTACTAATCATGTAGTAATACAATGAGATTGGAGATTGGAATGAGATTAGAAATAGAATTTAAAGAGACAATGCCATTTGGAACGAGATCCTTGATAAACCTATACTTTGTTGTCTGCAAAGACGGACTTTCCCTTTTTTTATCGACACATTCCAGCAGCGAGACAAAGACGTAGCACTTACAAAACAGTCCACGTCCAGAGGACCTTTACATCCCGCTGCACACTCTATGTGACAGCAGTCCCTGGGGCTTGTCCCAAAACAGCGGCCATTACACTGGGGAGCGCACACCGTCTTAGTCACTGAGACACACAGGAGACATGGGTTGAACAGGGGTCACCAATGTGTGTGTGGTGTCCTTATGTCTTAGTGTGTGTATGTCCCCCTGTCTCTGCGTATTTCTCAGAGAAGGATGAGGAAGGAGTCAGAGACAGAGTAAGATGAATGAAAGGAAACAGAACAATTGGCCACTCACAGATCTGGCACTGGTCCTCATTTGGCCCCCAGCAGTACTTGCCACAAGATTTGTGGCACGGGCCTAAAATAGAGGAAGAGACTGAGACTGTAAAAAAAAGTTAATCTGAAAATATAATTGGGATTTGGGAAACAGGGCCATGCCAACAATGACCTCTCTCTCCGTTGTGCTGGATGTCAATAAGAGCGTTGCTGTCCCTGATGATATCTTTCCAGTGGATCCAAGGGCCATAACTCAGGTACTTGTTGTTGATAATCTGCACTCCTCCCTCCAGAATCTCTGTGAAGACATGGGTGATGCATGATAGACGCTATAAACACATAACAGAAAAGCTATCCCAGTAAATATTCTGCACAAATGGGTAAAATAGAAATAGTAGGTACAGGCGGTAAGGGAGTAAATGTGGTTTCATAAGTAGGCCTTAGCTGAGGTATGCACTTTACTGAGTGCCATCCTAGTAATCACATTATAACCATGTGTTATATGTGCGAACCATGTGTTATTCCCAGGCTTGGCTTAATATATTGTTCCCCGGCAGCACCAATGTATCCTTCACCATAAATAATAACTAGTCTGAAAGCTATTTAAGAACCTTTTACAATGTAATTCCCCCAAAGTTTTTTTTCTATCCATTTCCCTATCTTGTTGCCCATGAACAATATTAATGTACTCTACAATTATTAACTAGGTCAATAATTTAAAAGCACTTACAGAGAAATGTAGGTTTTCAGCTGTTATCCTCTTATTCCCTAAACTCTTGTACTTAGTAGGGGCGCTAGGCATTTTATCAGTACCCCATATTTACTAAACAATTACACTGTTTATGTGGCCTGTAATCTTAAGTGTTACTGATATTACATCTATCTTCTTTTCACTCCTGCAGCTGCTGCATACACATCTCAGGATTCACACAGTGCATTTCATTGGAACACTAGAAGACACTTTTCAGTTTGGGAGCTTGTAAGTTTATCATGTTGGTATAGTATAGTAATATAGTAAAGTTTTTTTAGACCTCACTAACTTTCTTGCTACAAGATATGAAACAACCATTTTTTTTCTCATTCCACATTTACATTTCATTTTAAGTTTCACGTGTGAGATTTATTGTAAGTTTAAAAAAAAAAGTCAAATTAATTGCATCAAATCATTTATATTTGATTTCATTCTTCAGGATTACTGTATATTCTCTATTTGGAGCTACTTTGGTCCCTGGGATAAATCACAGAGAAACACATGGGACTGAGATGCATGTGTGGCATCTTGCTCGGTTTTCCAGTAACCCTGCTCACCTGTAAGATTTGCGAGCCCCAGCTGCCGCAGGCCACTGGATCCGTCCTTGGGGTAGTTAAAGAAGACAGAGAGGGCGAAGCGTTTTTCATAGAGGCTGTTCCCTCTGATGATCCGCAGTTGCCCTAAAGGAATCTCCTGAAAGTGGTTCATGACGATCAGGATGTAGCCGGTCACCTCACGGATCGTCTTGGGTGAAGATAAAGATGGAGAACTTCAAACGGGAAACTACAGCATGCAGTGCACATCTTATACAATCAAGAGTGACAAGTAAATGAAGGAGGATGGTGTTTACGTTGAGGAAGGAGAAGTCCCTGTTACTCTCAATCTGACTGATCTCCAGGTTTCCCATGATGATCTCACAGCCATTGTACCAGTCTTTAATCAGGTTGTACTGATTCTCCTGAGAGCCCGTGGAGCTCAGTCTGTTCTGCGTACCTGGACACACCTCTGGCACATAGGGAAACAAGGTGATATTTTAATCTTAAATTATTCTTAAATTATATTTTAATTTTAATCATGTCTTCAAACAATATGGAAATGGTAAGTTTGTGTATTTTATGTTATGTTTTCCCAGTCCATTCAAAGCACTTTACATCATTCATACAGAAGCAATTTGGGGTTCAGTATCTTGACGGATGGAATGCAGACTGGAGGAGTGGGGATCAAACCAACGCCTTTCTGGTTAGTGGACAACCCTCTCTACCATAGCTGATCCAAATACAAACACCTGCACATTGAGACCATCCCTTCTTTAGGTGATTTAAATGTAAGTTAAGTAATTCTTGGACATATCCACAGTCCTTATTCTGTGTAAAAATATTGACTCACTTTCAGCTGAACTTTCGGTTTTTTGCTGGACGTCACCACTTGAGCATCAGGGGGAACTTTGATCCGTTTTATTAAGGAAAAAAATTGTGACAGTGGATTTTGTCCCCCACTAAATACTTTAAGAAGGGGTCTCTTTGTTACAGATGGAACAAACAAAAACTCTTTCATGGACATGTTGGTATTGTTTTCAGACAGAGCTGAAAAAATGTGAGTCTGTCCTTTCAGAGCTGGTGTAAATGTTCTTTAACACTTTCTCCTACCTGTTCAAGAACCATGTAAAACCATAAAGGTTTAAATCCAGGTGACAGTACTTTGCATCCAAGCTAATCTAACAATAAACAGTGCTGCATGTTTTCCTGCTATGTCAAATTGCCTTTTTCTTCCATCCATATTATGAAAACATAAAGAGTTGTCAAATCCTCCTCAGTGAACATCAAGTCTACATTATGCTTTTTCAGTTTTTTCATTGCAACACTAGTAAAACAACAGTCATTCAGTTCATACCTCCCCTTATGAAATGTGAATGTTTGAATTCACTAGATCCCGAATTTTATTTGTATCTGCACCAAATTGCAAAAACTTTTAAAATCAGTTCCCTCCACACGCCTGTTTTTTTCATCAAGGACCATGAATTCTTTGAGAAATCACCAAAGAAAGCAAAACAAATATCTGCCCCCTGACCTGGATCCACACCATATCAGATACTCCCACCAAGTTTCAAAGGTAATCTGTTCAGCACTTTCTACTTACAAACAAACAAATAAACCAACCAACAAACAAACGGACAGGGGCGAAATCTCTTTGTCAGACATTATCACACAACTATAATGATAGAGAGAAATTAATAGAAACCTAATGACGAGCTGGAGTGTTTGAAAAATACAAACCTAAAAGCATATACATGAATGATTGGGGGTCAATTAAACTGCGCTTGATTGGGCATGGTGCCCCACCACTTTGATCCTTTAAAGCTGAAGGAATGAAGAATGTCTGAGTGATAGGGTTGCATTGTTTCTGCAGTATTTCTGTCTCTGGTGCGTCTTCCTGATGATGTCTGTGCTGCAGAGTTTGATGTGAAGCAGAGTAAAATAAGCAGGCTGTCACCTCGCTACATGTAGCAGTCACAGGCCCGGGGCTGACGGAGAGGAGGCCAAGGGTCGAGGGAACAAGGCTCCTCACAGACAAAGTGACTCATTGTGATAAAGCTATAAATGTGGTCAGTGTGTCCCAGTGAGTGAGGAGCGACGCAGTGACAGACAGTGATTCTGTGTGAGTGCATGTGCGTATGTGTGTGCGTCTGAGGGGTCTGCACTGCTGAGATCATACCAGCAGACAATGGGCCGTGTGTGAGCTGGACGCTCTGGCAGAGGGAAGGGAAATATCGTGAACGGAAGGAGACATACACACCATCTCCCACTGACCAACAGAAGCGGAGGTTCTGGCCCTTTATGTGCAACAGTTGCACCTGCAGCAGTAAACACATAAACAGTCATATTTTCTGTCTTCATCGAGGAACATGCAGAGGTATAAACCTGAATCTCTTCAGTTATATGGCATCAGCCATATCCTAACATCCATCCATCCATCTATCCATCCATCCTTCATCTGTACCACTTATCCTTTTAGAATCATTCGCTGACGTTTGGGTCAGGGTACCCTCACATTCAAACCTATGTCCACGTCCTATGTGCGGAAGTGTCCTTGGTCAAGATACTGAACAAATTGCCCCTGATGTCTGTGCCATTCAAAAAGTGCATGGTATAAATAGAAATACAGAGAAAACCCACAGAGACACACACTGCACACAGGAAGACCTCGACCGAACCAGGATTCGAACTGGAAATCTTCTTGCTGTGCCAACCACTGCACCACAGTGCAACCCTCATATCCCAATGCACTTACATACTCATTCTGGGAGCGCTGCATGATACCTCTGACTATCAGGACAATTTATTATACATATTCATGCACAGAAACAAGTTCAAGCGAAATAAACTCATTTTTGCTTTTTGAAACAGTGGTTTCTAACACATTACAGTGTAGTTCTCAGAACAAGGCAGTTTAGCCTCCACCAGGGATTTAATATAGCTCCCATTCACCACGAACAGTAAATAAAGTGCTAGAACACAGAGTAGTTTGTGAGACACGAGGGTGAACAGTTAATAAAATGTTGTCTTCTATTTACAAGTCTCTATACCATCTGTTCTGTTCTATCCTTCAGTGTAGCTGCATCTCACCATCTTAGCTGTTACATGTGATCTATCAATGCAGGTGGGTAATGCTGAGGAGTAACTTCCAGCAGGTGATTCAAACAGAAAAATAACAATTATAAAAAAGATTTAAGTATAGAGCAGAGGTAACATGGAAAAAATACTATATTAAAAATATGTTTAACATCTCTTCAAACAGGACAAAGAGGCTGTTATGCAATGATCCTACCTTCATGGCTTTGGGTTGATGAAGTTTGCAGCCTCCAAGATATCATCAAACACAGAAAAACGACTCCCCGCTGGTTCATGTTGATGTCTTATCTATTCACTGATATAATATCATATCATACACAAGTCTGGGTTGTCCTCCGAACAGCAGAGCAGGGTGTGAAAAACAAAACAGTAAAGGAAACATAAATTGCAAACAAAAGCTGTTCAGGTTCCAACCTCTATAAGATGAGAAAAAAGAAAACCATGCAGTCAAAGTGAAGAGATCTTCGTAGAAAATGTAGTAATGAGAGCAGATAAAACGCGCCAATTGTAAAACTGAGAAAAGGCAAACAAGTGGCAGTTTGTTTTGATGCTGGGTTTCCCCTCCCAGAACAGGATGTGTGATTGGCCAGGAGCTTTATTTATGCACCAATCAGAGGTCCGTCCGTCATTTTTTTATCGAGCTGCAGCACTGAGCCTTATCATAGCAGAACCGAAATTCTGCTATAATAATGTAAGATAGAATAATAATAATGATAATGACAACATCAACAATAATAATAGTGAGAATAATATAATATAATATCTGTCATATCATGTAATAGAATACAATAGACTACAATAACAATTCACAGAGTAGAGTAGAATAGAAATGTATTCACCAAATAAATGCTTGCAGTCTAAACCTCTTACATGTGCAGCAGTGTGAACACCATGTACCACAGATGTCCACTTTCCCTGTGTAGTTATTTTGGTTTAGTGCTGTCAGCTGCTGCGTGTGGATGCAGCGCTCTGCTCTCTCAGTCAGCACCCAGTGATGTGAGTGGCTGCACTGTTTCCCCTGTAAAGAGCAGTATTGTGCCTGCAGCCCTGTCAACTGGTTAATCACCCCTTTGATGCGCATGTAGCAGCCTGACACAATGGGCACATTGTCAGGACGGTCAAGTGACTTCTGAACCCAAAACAAGAACATGCTTAATTTGAGAGAATGGACACAGAGCAGTCAAATGTCCAGAGCATGGAGCTGCAAGTGAAAGGCAGAGGACTCACTGATGTAACTGCTCCTGACAAATGGACTGTTAATTGGATTCTTTAAATAAGAGGCAGAGAGTTGAACAGTTGCTGGTTGTTTGGAATTATGTAGAAATCTAAGTAACAGCAATACTATTCAAACATCCTACTTTATTTTCAGTGGATGGTTTATTCTAATGTTGATCTTCTTAATCTATATAATGTGTTCATAAACCATCAAAACCATCAAACAGGAGAAAACTAAGCCTTAGTATGTCTGTACCTAGTGAATGATGAACTCCTCCAGCAGGAGGAGCCAGAGTCTGAGTGTTGGTGATTTAATGAGCGCTGCTGCAGGGCCTGCAGGAAGTGGATGCAAGTGTTTGCACCTTAATGTCTTTTTTAAATTCTGCATAAATACTCTCAAGCAGTCATCTGCACTAATGAATGGATCAGCTGTGATCTACTTGCCTGCTGAATGGTGGAAAATGTTGCAGAACTTCAATGAGTTGGATGACTTTTTCACAACTTGACTTGGCTTATTAAAACTGTGAAAAGGGGAAAATATCATGGTGGAAATAAAACTACAGTAATATCAAACACATTGGTCTTATTCCACATTCTCAGTTGAGTTTCCCTGTGCTCAGGCCAAGAAAAGTGACTTCCATAAAGGCCCAAGGATTCTATTGTTTCTGAGAGGAGATTTTGGCACTAACACCATGGTGTCAGCCTCAGTGTCGGCCCTGGTGGCCCTGTCCCTTCCAACGCGAGGTGTGGGGGCGACTGACGTGGCCTTTTGCATTTACCACTCCCTTCAGAGATTGATGAATTGATTGTAGGGCTGCTGCCAGTGTGTCTGTGCACTGGGCGAAGGCGTCCCGGTTACGGGTGGGAATCCCAGCTATGGCATCCGCCCTGGGGCTACTATTGTGGCCGTCCTGCAGGGGGCCCTGGGGGCTGGTGGCCCCGGGAGCAGCTCTGACCCACATACTGCTGTCACACCCCTGGAGACACAGCGGCACTCTCCCCTGAGCAGACCTCAGATTGGCTCAGATAAAACGACTCTGTGAAGGGCAGCTATTTCGACAGGGAAACTACATGATTGTGCCAAACTACTCTTAATGGCAGCAGTTATAGAAAAGAACAACAGAGAAAGATGACCCACACCCATGTTGTTCCCATAGTTCACCTGCTCTTTCCCTGCACATGTTCATCTCTACGTGCTTGATGATCAAGCTTGTCATATGTGCTGTTAATGAATCTGGATTAATCTGGTGGATCATATGAAAGTTGAAGCTGAAGTTAAATTCTTGACCAAGTTGGTCACTCTCCACTCAAAAAGATGTCTTGCTTTTTTCCTCTGCCAAGGAGGATATGTTTTCACTCGTGTCTGTTTATTGTTTTATAGTAAAACTGATTTAAAACCAACTTGGAGGAGAGCTGAGTCCTGGGTCCTGGAAGAGCACATTACATTTTGGTGAGGATGTCTTTTAAGTGGCAGGATTTTTTATTTCACTTTCTTTAATTATGTTTTACTACATAATTTAGCTTATCAGATCATTTTATTTTTTATTTTATATTTCTACTTTAACAACTTAACAATCCCCTTAATGAGAGGCTTGTAGTTGTAACCTTATACAAATGTTTGACTTTCAATCTGTAGATCAGACAAATTAAGATTCAAGGCAGAGTATTCTTAAAACAAGTAGAGGAATAGAAACGTTTACAAAGGGGTAGGGAAAAGGGCAGATATCTCAATGAATAGACAAGAATGGCTGTAGAGTTCATACCTCTGCTCAGGCCCAACAGGCCCCTTGTGAAACTGCATTTAAAGTCACCAGATGTTGATTTTTATTCTGATCCACACCAAATTATAGTTGTTGATACCAACCACCCATCTCTCCCTGATTGTTTTCATCCAATTCCAATAATTATTTCAAAAGAAAATAACAAAATTACTGCAAAAATGCCTTATATCACAATGTTAACAAGTGATAAAAATGACTGGATTTCCCCCTTATCTGAATCTGAATTTTTCCCGTCCTTTTGCCAAGTTTTGTGGAAATCCATTTAGCAGTTTTTGTTTTATATTGCTTTCAAACAAACAAACCAAACCTTGGCAGAGCTAATAAACACAAACTTCAGCTATATGGCCTCCGCTGAGGAGTCAAATCATAATCCAATGGTACAATAGCAAATAGTAAATAAATATGGGAAGAAAATGAGCAAAGCAAAGCAAATTTGTATTTTGGTCTTTTATTGACTGATCGGTGAAGTGCCAGAAATCAAACATTCAACACTTTTCCACCAGTTTGTGTTGTTTATATTTTCCTCCACTTGATCAGATTCCACTCAGTTGATTAAAATTCATTTTCGGTTTTGTTTCTTTGTGAACCTACATTATCAGCTGGAATGTTGTGCAATCTTGTTTTTCATAAAAGTTAAAGTTTGCCAATAGTCGCTGGAAGAGGGACGTTCAGCCACAACAGAACTGCGGGTGCATGAGTGTTACAGATCGTATAGGTGAGATACTTGAATGTCGGACATTCCTACATACAAACCTGTTATCAAAGAGAAATAAACCACTGGCAATATAAGGCCACATAAAACAATTTACACACCAAACTAGTAATAGAGGGCACGTCACACACACAAGCTGCTGTCATTTAAGCATATCTGCCAACACACTGAACCCAATATCTACAGGGTGTATCAACAGCACTTTCAATTTGACAGCGAATACCATGATATACTTTTCTTGTTACATAAACATATATACAGTTGCGCTGACATAGAAAAGCATGCTTTTGCATATTAGAAGGTTGTTCGGTAAACTTTACACTAAATCCATAACATTTATCAGTACAGCATTGTTCCAACCAGCAGTAGTAATTTAGACTAACAAATATAGTCTGAGGAAACAGGCTATTATAATTCACTTTTATTACAGATCTTGTACAGTATTAACATGCCTTATGATGCAGTATTATTACTATCACCCTCTCTCCTATTAGTTTTTAATTATGTGATTTGTGAACACTCATAAAGACGACTTTCTGATCTAGTTAGCAGACTAATTGAAAACAACAATAAAATCAACACTTTGCCTTTTGGTCCAAAATAAATAAACACAAGAAAAAGAAAAAAATCAGATGTTACATTTTCTACAACAATAACGCATCTAGAGTTATTTTGTGCACCGTGGTACACAATTCAACACAAGAAACACGTGTGATGTCACGCCAATTAGGGATGAATAAATCAGGGTGACAAGCGATGTGACTTCTTTTGACAGATATAGTGTCGCTGCTTGCACAAACTGACTTTTAAAAAAAGACACATTCAAAAACCATGTAAGCTCTCTAATATTGCCAATCACATGCTCTGCTGCATCACTCTGCCAATTGCTTGCGGGCCAATAGCAGCAATTTTTCCCCCTAAGCCACAGAGCTGGCACAGTGCGCCTGTTCTGTCATCTGTATCAACTTGGCTGTCGCACCTAGCTGAGGCCAGACAAACCATTTTAACCCTCACTGTGCCCAGCAAGTTGATTTAGGAACTTTATTTACAGCAGCGGCCTGCAGCAGTTCACAGCTCTTACAAGCCCATGAGCCAATACTGGGATATCTCCATGCACATTGGGAAGCAGTATTATACATTTGATACAGAGGCTTCTTTTTCTTTTCTTTTTTTTTTTTTAAACCAGCTGCCATACCATTAAATGCACATTGCAATAAAGGGAGAGAAAAAATGATGGACTTCAATAAACAAACTTGAGAATAAATGTTGACAAACATATAAATATAAATAAACAACAATATTCATTGTTTGAGACTATCCAGTATGTCAGCACATGTAGTATTGAAGAATTATTATTATTTATTATTTAAAATGTAAATTTGCTGATGAATTAAACATCTGTTCGGATGGAAAATGGTAATGTGACATTTATCTGAGCCTGTTTGAGTAGAATTCTTTCAGTCTGAGATAATAGTGGTACTCCCACTACACTAGATAGATAGATAGATAGATACTTTACTGATCCCGAGAGAAATTTAGGAAATGATGACAATCCCAAATCACATCAAGTATCTAAGGGAGGGTTTCTCTGCCATCATGAGTCCAGATTCATCTCCTGAACAAATTCAAATTAATAGGGGGTCAAAGGCCATAGACTGCAAAGTAGAGGAAATACATATACGCCTTCACAGTAATATTATACTATTACATCCTGATATTTATGCATTCGGCTTATAGAGTAATTCATTAAGATCAATTTAAACTCCACTGGTTTCTGAATAATTAAAAACACTCACAGCAGATCCAAACAAATG